ATAATACATGGATGAATGACGACGAAGCTCGCTTACTGTGCAATTAGCTTCTGTGCTTTCATGATCAAGTATTGTGCGAGCATCCGCTGAAGACATTTGGGATGCTGGAAGGAGGCCAAATAATGCTCGAAGGACAGATGGGGGCGTACGATTATGCGCAGTATATTTCGGAGGTAGAAGAAGGCCGTTCGATCTCATTTCAGTGTAAAAAGGGCTTCATGCTTCTTGGATCACCAAAAGTAACAATTTTTTTGCAAAAACATTTTTTATAGTTCTAGCGAGTTCTTTCAGTTCTCACAAAAATTTCTGTGGCTAACCGAACTTTCACTGCCAATAAAGTAGACTGTCGACATAAACCAATTATCATACCCAGCTTGTCCGGAGAACTTTCCTCGGACAAACCCAACGAAAGCTTGATCTCATTATCTGAGTGGACAACAGGACCCGGAGTCGCTTATCATTGAAAATTTCAGTTCTCAACAGTCTGGATTTCTGCTTCTGTTTCTCTTCACTATTCGCTTGCAGGCTACATGTGTTAGCGGACGCTGGATGCCACGAAAAAAACCGAAATGTGTGTCGCAGACACATCCGATGGTTGAAGGCCAAATTGCTTGGATGCGTCGACGACGACGTTCTACCGAGTGTGAGCCGATTCTTGTCGACTACAGGAGAAAGGTTGTTGTGACGAAGGGTGGCGATATACCAAGAGAAATTATGGTTAGTTCTAGTCATTCGCTGCAAATTGTTTTTCATTTCCGGATACCTTAAAATGCTGCATTTTCTGGTCATTGACGCACGTTGGCATGCTTCCCTTTTTCCTCACTTCTGAACTTGCAACATTCAAGTAACTCCAAATATCTGGACCAGTTGTAATCCCCAGTTTCAAAGAAACTGGTTGAAGTACCGGATGAAAAACTGGCCGATCAGATTACAAATCGAAGCTAATCCGTGTAAGTACCAGCAGCTTTTTAAGTCGCTTTCAAAGTTTTTAAAACAATCTGTTTGATAGGTGATGTGCGCCGAGGGTTTCCATTTCGAAAATTCTCATGCTGATGGTTTGTTATCCTGTAGAAATGGACAGTGGATTCCTGAAATCCCCCGCTGTATTCCCGGTCAGTTCTTTTAAGCTCACAAATAAAAATCTGGAAATTCATTTCAGACTGAGTTTTTACAAGCCGAAAAAAAAAA